TATGCTAATGTAATAGAAGATGTGGTGCATTTTCATGTGCATCTCAAACACGTCCATACCACTTATTTAAAGAAAAAAACCCCCTTGCACAGAGTTTGTATAAGGGCTCTCACATGGAGAAGGATCACACATGTGGAACCCATGTGTGGCGACCACCTCATGAGTGTGCACCTGTATAGGACCTGTGCAAAGGGGCCTGTGTAGGTAGCACAATCCTTATTTAAATCAGTTTATGTTGATATTAAATTCTCATAAATATTTAGTAGTACAAGAAACCTATGAATCAAAAAAATCATAAGTATTACTATAATTAAACATGCCGTACCACTTCAATTCTTTTGATTTATAAGAGCTTGTAATGAAGTTTGTCACCTTTTCCTACCTAACGAAAAATTATTTCATAAAAATTGTATACTGAAATCCTGTGTTTTTGGTAATATGAATAGACTAGTAACGAAAAAGATAAATTAAGGTGGACCCTAACAATCCATATAAATGAGAAATAATGATGTTTGAACAGGGTCAAAGACAAGCCAAAAATGGACATAATAACTTGACGGTACCTGTTTGGATTTTTTATTTTTATTTTTCAAATTATCCAATCATGTATCAATATGTGTCCATCTTATTTTTAAGAATAATGCTATTTGTATTCGCTCAGTAGCGTAGTCGTCATTTATGGCATACATTTCGAGATTAGTTATTTGTTGCATAAAATAATAAAAATTACCACATTAATATATCAAATTACTAACCACCACATGTGATATAGGACGACTACGATACTGAGCAACTATAAATAGTATTACTCTATTTTTTAACCTGGCATTGAGCTCGTTCGTGAAGCATAATTGTATAAATGAAGCCTACTTTAGTCGGCCAATCACAAATCCATAATTTGCATGCAGCTTCTAATCCCTAGTTTTAACGGGGAGGCTACTCAATAAATCCCAAATGATCTATATGTTGTTTCAAATATTTACAAAAACAGTCCTCGAACTTTCACAACTGAAGTATTAGTGTCTAATTAAATTTTTTTGTTGATTTTTAAGTGCATAAACTTTTATCCTCGTTAACAATGTATATTGGTCTCTATTACACAATGAAGACCGTTCCTTCTATCAGTGAATTTCCTTGAAGTTAATCTAACGGCCTAGATCTATTAATTTTTCTTGAATGTGTTTGGATATAAGTATAGTAACTTTAAATGTTTCAACATATCTAGACTCTAGAGTTGTGATTATATATCAGATTTGTCGATAAGAGGAACAATGATCCTCTTACATGACCCCCACGGTGGAAAAGTTATGGATCCAAAAAAATATGTGATTAAAATTAATTGTCGAATTTAACATAAATTAAAATATTTCTACCTAAATTTTAATTCCTACCAAACAAATGCATGATACCGATCATTTCAAATTCACATGTGCGACAAGTGATGTATGTAAGGGTTGTTTTAAAGTACTTTATTATAGACTTGTGAGACTATAAATAATGGCATTTTAAAAATAAAAGAATTAATTGGACTTTACGTGTATTAACGATACGAACAAAAAAAAGAGAAATAAAATGGAATATAGTGTATAGTTGATAGCATCCACGTGGGTGTGGGCCCAGGTACGCTTTATCCTCTGTCTGATACCTTATACTTAGTCCTCCAGTTGGAAGTTTAGCCTAATGCCTTCCGAAATCCCCGGCTTCATTTTTTATATTTCACAAAATTTCAATTTTCAACCGCATGCCGAGCGCGTGATAAATTCATCTCCTATCAAATGGCCGTGTTACTGGACTTTGTTTGGTGTAGCTTAAAATTTTAGAAAAATTGTTAAAGTCAAAAATTATTTTAATTACATACTTTATATAATTCACAATTTCTCAACTATATATTGCATTAATTTTTATCAAAATTTGTATGTAATTTCTGAAAATGGTAACATGTATAAATAGTGAATATTGTAGCATAACGGGTTATCTTATAAGATCATCGAACATTCCATTCAAATCACACTCTTAATGTGAATGGTTAACTTTGATAGTTGTCGTAGTAAAAATACAATGAAATCTATATTGCACTTGATCAATATAAGTCGAAGAAGTTATTACTATGTATGTATTTAATTTTTGAATAATGTTGATATTAGAACATCAGTGTAAGTTTCACCATGTAATGGACTCAATAAAAGGTAAAATCAGTATTCTATTTGGTTGTTCCAGACATTTAATGACACTTAGACCCTGTTTGGTGATCATTCTTTTAAATTTTTTTTTTTTTTTTATACTCATCATCAAATCTAGTCTCAATTATTGAAGGGACTGTGTCTCACACCTCTATATGGTTTGAAAAAGGTCTCTTAGAGTTGGTAGATCTTTTCCTCTTTAAAACATGAGTCCAAGTTTCACCATGTAATGGCCTCAATAAAAGGCAAAATTAGTGATCCATTTGGTCGTTCTAGTCATTTAATGACACTTAGACCCTGCTTGGTGATCATTCTTTTAAATTTTTTTTTTTTTTATACTCATTGTCAATCACACATTCTGATAATAAATACAGTTTTTATATAAATTTAAAAAAAAATCGACTTTTTAACTTTACATTCTCTTACTATACAAGACTAGTCAATACAATAGTCAAGACTATAACTTCTTTGTTCAAAATATAGTCCAAAACCAACTTCAAAAATATTAATAAGTTAAACATAGCACCAATCACACCTTTCTGAAAGTGCAGCCGATCCTTCCTCAAAGAATTCCTCCACCACATCTGGTTCACAGTATTCTTCCTTGTCAACCTGAGACGACGACTCTGAAGATTTTTTACGAAACATAGACTTAAAGACTCCTTTCACTTGTTTCTTAGGTGGTGGTTGGGGAGGATTTGGTTTCTCTGGAAGTTGAATATCTATAACAATACAGGTTGTATCATCTCGAAGTCCTTTAACGGATAAGGCTTCCTGCAAGTGTGCGAGAAGAGTAATGTAAACTGAATGTTTAAAAACATATCGATTGATGTAAAGAACACATCAAGAAATAAGAACTACCTTGACAATTTGTGAAGCTGCAGCATCCATTGGCATCCCTCGACAACATTCAAAAGCTGTTTCTGCAGATAATGCATCCCAAACACCATCACTTGAAATAATAAGCCTGCCACCGGCTGATGACAGCTGCAGGTGATAAGATTTATGAAATTGATTTAAAATCTGCTTCACAAACGATAACGGACAAATTGCATGAAAGATGATCCATAGTTCTTAGTTTTCCATTGAAACGTATTAAAACAACGGTAAAAATTATCATCTTCGGATTCAGCAGGGAATCTAGTTCTCTTGAACAATTTTAGTAATCAAGCCAATTATGTTTTCCATTTCTTTCCGAGACCATTGCTTTTATTTGTAAAATGTTCCAAGCCCTCTCTAACAGACAATTAAATGTGTGATGTTGTTAGCTTTTATAATCACAAAATATGAATGAATTAATAAAATAAAGGAGTTTTGCAATTCTTTTCAACTAGTCAATGAAATGAAAATACTGTTGCATACATTAGCCATTTATGTAGAAAAATATAAAACTTTTACAACTAACCATTTACGTTAGAAAATATAAAGTTTTTATAACTTTTGGCCAAAATACTGAGAATCCATATTCATTTCCAAAAATCTATTTCAAAAACAAGGATTATAATAAAGAACTGATTAACATTATAATAGATTAATATAGATAGCTTGAATTCCCAAAGTTACTATTCATGTAATAAATTCTGCTTATCATATTTCAGTTTACATGTCATCTTGTCAATATGCTAGAACAGCTTCTACTCCAATTTGCATCCGTAAAAGAAAATTATATAAATTAAGCCCCAAGAGAAACAATTTAACTTTTCAAATCAGAAGCAGAAAAATAACTGACAGTTCAAGATAGAAGAATTGTTTCAATACCAGAACTGAGTACTTCAAATTCAGCAAGCAAGATACAATTAGAAACAAACCTTCACTTGCTTTACATAAGGAACGGGAACTATGAACTCTCCAACATCCATATCTCCAATAGATCGAGAAAGGCACAAGCCACCAGGCCAACATCTCAGAGGACCAATCTACAGTGAAATCAGAGAATTGCGTAAAACAAAATTTCGAGAGATATTATGTTTATAGAAACCACCATATTGGTCTTCTAATCCCTTATCAGATAAATAAAGAAGACATTTACTGCCTCTCTGTTTACAATTGAATGATATGGTTTGACTCACACAACCACATGGACATTTTCCCACAGCCAGAATTGTTAGTAATTTACTTTCTAATTTAGAAAATAAAATCTAAACAGTAGCGTAATATTTCTTATCTTTATCATCCTAGATTTTTCCTAGCAAGGTAAATAAAATATAAAGCAGGTACATTCCAAAAATCATCCAGTGGATAGAAGAAGAAGAAAAAACATTCAATTAAGGAAGGGAGAACTCCCTGTGCAACATCTACCCAACAGAATTATTTGTAGAACAGAACCACGTAGAATTTTACAAAGTTGTAAATACGTAAAGATTTTGCAAATCCAAAAATATATACTGTTTAGTTTCTACCTTCTAGTATCAACCTTCCTGTAAGCAGATAAATAAACGCCAGGATCCATGTGAATCAACAATCAGTCTAAACAATCATAAGAAGCCATTTCGAATTCTTAATTATAGTTTGGTAATACGTAATTGGCATTCAAATTTAATGCTTCCATTATTTATTAATGATTTTGATCAGTTGTTCTTTCTTCTACAATAAGGAAAGAATAGGCTCCTTTAAGAGATGAGAAAAAAAATACCTCTGTGCCACCACCAGTATTAAGCCGACCAACCTCACCACCACTTGATGTTATACGTTCCCTCCTGTTTAACCAATAACTAAAGAATTCAGACCTTACTGTATAAGGTTGCATGCCATGCGTCAGATAACAAAATATAAGTTATATAACTTACTCTTCTTCATTGCATTCAAGTCTATGATCAGCTGACAGATAATATATTCCCCCTTCGGCAGATTCAAGTATGCAACGAGAATCACCAACTGATGCAACAGTTACGACCCATCCGTCAATTATTACAAAGGTGACCGTCGTTCCAGAAGTTTGTGCTGAACCACAGTCACAACAAGATATGAGAATCTAATGGCATACAAGAGAGAGAGAGAGAGAGAGAGAGAGAGAGAGAGAGAGAGAATTTTTTGCAATGTAAAGATCGAGGTAACTACAAACTGCAGGTGTTAATCAAATTCAATCTATATCCTATTTGATTTCTTAGAAGTTGCAAGTAGAGAAAAACTTTGTAATCCCCTTCATTTCCCAGATGCAACTTGAACAACAAAATATTCACAGATATGTGTAAGCATATGGCTATCATGTATCTGAAGAACTTAATATTCCCACCTTGTAATTTTAAAACAAAGAGAAAATATAGAAAACAAAAATAAAATAATCACAAACCTGACTACTTAACCAAACACATGACACGAGATATTTTTCTTACCTGTAAAATTTCGTTTTCCTAAATTCAGGTTGTTGCACGTAAAATAGATCGTATTAGCTTAAACCATAAAATATATTTGAAATGAATTTCAAAAATTTTTGGACTCTGGATATAGACTCTCTTTTTTCCATTTTGGCACTCCTATGGTAATTTTTGAACATATGGGATTAACCACATGAAAATGTTGAAAAGATTAAGATTCACTGAATCACTGTTAACACTTTGTCATATAAATAAAAAGACTGTAGCAGTAGAATCTTAAGGATCCGCAAAACCTTTTCTTGACCCTCTCCCAAAACCAATGTCCCTTTCCATTTCAATCATTGATCTGCAACTGAGATCCAGCAGACATTTTTTAGTTTTTTTCTAGACAATATGTGGTATTATACACAAAATTTGTTGAACTAATTGAACTGACACAATATCATTCACTTTTGTTGTTATTTTTAATTTCAGTCAGTACACTTTAGTCTTCAGAATGACATGCCTACCGTATGTATAGCAATAATCGTGCTATGTCTAAGTGAATTGAACCTGAACTATTTTTACCTCTTTCTTGGAAATCTTTATCTGTTTTGACGAACCCAGCAACCAAAGCCCTCGGCAATGCGGCAACCCACTCATCCCTATTAAGATCCGGTGGAATAGCACCCAAGACATTGTTCAAGAGATTTTCCTTGGAATATATAGCAGCTGCAGATCCATTGTGACCATCAAATAACTGCAAATAGATCAGAAAGAATACATTGTGTAAGAAAAGCAGCAGATGACTTGATTTAAATGCAACTAGTACAAAATGAAAACAGATATTCGACATTTGGTTTCCAGAGAACGAGCAACTACATTGATTCCTCACACATTTCAATATTCACCAATCACTTTCCATGTGAAATATGTACAGAATGCACAACTCAAATGTGTAGATTGTTGATGTGATCCAAATATTACAAATTAAAATGTGATCCAAATATTACAAATTAAAATGTGATCCAAATATTACAAATTAAAATGTGATCCAAATATTACAAATTAAAATGTGATCCAAATATTACAAATTAAAATGTGATCCAAATATTACAAATTAAAATGTGATCCAAATATTACAAATTAAAATGTGATCCAAATATTACAAATTAAGGTTAAAACCATAACAATGGTTCCTGTAACACAAAGTCAATGCACAGGTGAATGAATAACTAGAAACAAAAGTCTTCTCAATCCTCAACCACAATACTAATTTTTTTATCACATAAATAAAGACCCTGATATGTTAATCCGGGAAATTGTTGTATAGCATCCGCTCTCAGCATGACTAACATGATATAAAATGCTAAAGTCCAGGAAAAACTGCAGTTCCACAACTATAAATAGAAAACCACAATGACAAAATAGCCTTAGACACAAAGAGAAGCACAATAAAATCATACCCCGAAAACAGAATATGTGGTGACTCCATCACCCAATACCCGTTGGCATTCTGTCTTGAGGAACGTAAAGTCCTCACCTTTCTTGCTCTGGCTGGCCTGGCCGTGCAAAATCTCAGGGTTCTCAAGCTTCTCATTAGCCAATTCCCGCTTTAACAACACCGATAATGGGACCGCATGATGGTCAACACTCTTAGACAACATTGCTTCCTGTCCCAACAGCCCCAAAAATGATAATTTTCTTTGTCCCTCTTTTCACGGGATTTGGAAAATGCAACCCGTTATGTATTCAGTCCGCCAATTTCTTCTTGTAGTTGTTGACAATTGATTCAATCAACACAAATCCAATAAAATCCTATACATACAAACGCAATATAAAAATGGAAGAACATATCAGCGTCCTAAAATAAACATAAACAAACCAAACCCAAGCAACTAAAACAAGGAGGGCAATTTAATTTGATTCATATTTATATCAACATAAAAAACTATGAGCAATAATACAACCAAGATCCTCTCAAGCTTTAACAATTAAGAAACAAACTTTAACATTAACATAAACATAAACAAAAATAAATCTTCAACCCATAAAACAACATTACATATCTACATTAATGAAATGAATCTGATCTTAGCATAATGTGGATAAAACCAAAGTTGTAACAGATAAAGGGCCCAATCTCAAATTGAGAAAATGGAATCTAGAAAAGAGAGAATAAACATACAGTTTATTAAAACTTGCGAAAATGGTCTTTTAGTTGCAATCATCGAAACACAGCGATTCCGGGTCTGGGTTTCAACGCTGCAAAAAAAAATAAAAATAAAAAATAGAAAACAATTGTCGTGCGTTTTTGTCTGTTGAGATGAGAGGAGAGGAGAAGGTGTTAACGCTAGAGAGAGGGAGACGGAGGTATAAATTATATAATTGAAGGCGTCCGGCTATTTTTCTTCTTGTTTTAATTAATGCTATTTTTGGAGAATATATATTTTATTCGGGGATTTAAGTTGTTTGTTACTTTCGCGTGCTGCTTGACAAATGACAATAAATTGACATATCCAATTGCATTATCATAAAGATGGAATCTGAGCTGTAAAAAGGATATGTGCATATTTTCTTTATGGGCCCCATTTCCGTTGTCTTAGACTAGATATCCGTCTACGTGACACAACTGTTTGATTTGGATACAAATTAAATTTTCAATAAATTTCGGTAAAGTTGATGAAATATATAATTAAAAAGATTAATAAAAATTGTAATTCTCATCAAATGTGTGTTCGAAAAGAATTTAGAGAATAATAGATTTTAAAAAATGAAGTTAAAAAAGTTACACGTTACTACATGATTGAGTTTTTCTTGTCATCAACGCTAACAAAACGGTCAATAAAGTACGAGATTATAGCATTTGCAAAGACGCTCCATTGTTGCAATGCACGAAACAAATAGAACTCTTAGTTCCGTCTCGTTAAACAACATTTAAACCAACTGATGTATCAAAGGCAAGTTCAAAAATCTCATAATCCAGTTCAGATTAATTTTGAGAATCAGTTGTGTTGGAACAATATCCTTTAGTATGCTAATGTAATAGAAGATGTGGTGCATTTTCATGTGCATCTCAAACACGTCCATACCACTTATTTAAAGAAAAAAACCCCTTGCACAGAGTTTGTATAAGGGCTCTCACATGGAGAAGGATCACACATGGAACCCATGTGTGGCGACCACCTCATGAGTGTGCACTTGTATAGGACCTGTGCAAAGGGGCCTGTGTAGATAGCACAATCCTTATTTAAATCAGTTTATGTTGATATTAAATTCTCATAAATATTTAGTAGTACAAGAAACCTATGAATCAAAAAAATCATAAGTATTACTATAATTAAATATGCCGTACCACTTCAATTCTTTTGATTTATAAGAGCTTGTAATGAAGTTTGTCACCTTTTCCTACCTAACGAAAAATTATTTCATAAAAATTGTATACTGAAATCCTGTGTTTTTGGTAATATGAATAGACTAGTAACGAAAAAGATAAATTAAGGTGGACCCTAACAATCCATATAAATGAGAAATAATGATGTTTGAACAGGGTCAAAGACAAGTCAAAAATGGACATAATGACTTGACGGTACCTGTTTGGATTTTTTATTTTTATTTTTCAAATTATCCAATCATGTATCAATATGTGTCCATCTTATTTTTAAGAATAATGCTATTTGTATTCGCTCATTAGCGTAGTCGTCATTTATGGCATACATTTCGAGATTAGTTATTTGTTGCCTAAAATAATAAAAATTACCACATTAATATATCAAATTACTAACCACCACATGTGATATAGGACGACTACGATACTGAGCAACTATAAATAGTATTACTCTATTTTTTAACCTGGCATTGAGCTCATTCGTGAAGCATAATTGTATAAATGAAGCCTACTTTAGTCGGCCAATCACAAATCCATAATTTGCATGCAGCTTCTAATCCCTAGTTTTAACGGGGAGGCTACTCAATAAATCCCAAATGATCTATATGTTGTTTCAAATATTTACAAAAACAGTCCTCGAACTTTCACAACTGAAGTATTAGTGTCTAATTAAATTTTTTTGTTGATTTTTAAGTGCATAAACTTTTATCCTCGTTAACAATGTATATTGGTCTCTATTACACAATGAAGACCGTTCCTTCTATCAGTGAATTTCCTTGAAGTTAATCTAACGGCCTAGATCTATTAATTTTTCTTGAATGTGTTTGGATATAAGTATAGTAACTTTAAATGTTTCAACATATCTAGACTCTAGAGTTGTGATTATATATCAGATTTGTCGATAAGAGGAACAATGATCCTCTTACATGACCCCCACGGTGGAAAAGTTATGGATTCAAAAAAATATGTGATTAAAATTAATTGTCGAATTTAACATAAATTAAAATATTTCTACCTAAATTTTAATTCCTACCAAACAAATGCATGATACCGATCATTTCAAATTCACATGTGCGACAAGTGATGTATGTAAGGGTTGTTTTAAAGTACTTTATTATAGACTTGTGAGACTATAAATAATGGCATTTTAAAAATAAAAGAATTAATTGGACTTTACGTGTATTAACGATACGACCAAAGAAAAAGAGAAATAAAATGGAATATAGTGTATAGTTGATAGCATCCACGTGGGTGTGGGCCCAGGTACGCTTTATCCTCTGTCTGATACCTTATACTTAGTCCTCCAGTTGGAAGTTTAGCCTAATGCCTTCCGAAATCCCCGGCTTCATTTTTTATATTTCACAAAATTTCAATTTTCAACCGCATGCCGAGCGCGTGATAAATTCATCTCCTATCAAATGGCCGTGTTACTGGACTTTGTTTGGTGTAGCTTAAAATTTTAGAAAAATTGTTAAAGTCAAAAATTATTTTAATTACATACTTTATATAATTCACAATTTCTCAACTATATATTGCATTAATTTTTATCAAAATTTGTATGTAATTTCTGAAAATGGTAACATGTATAAATAGTGAATATTGTAGCATAACGGGTTATCTTATAAGATCATCGAACATTCCATTCAAATCACACTCTTAATGTGAATGGTTAACTTTGATAGTTGTCGTAGTAAAAATACAATGAAATCTATATTGCACTTGATCAATATAAGTCGAAGAAGTTATTACTATGTATGTATTTAATTTTTGAATAATGTTGATATTAGAACATCAGTGTAAGTTTCACCATGTAATGGACTCAATAAAAGGTAAAATCAGTATTCTATTTGGTTGTTCCAGACATTTAATGACACTTAGACCCTGTTTGGTGATCATTCTTTTAAATTTTTTTTTTTTTTTTATACTCATCATCAAATCTAGTCTCAATTATTGAAGGGATTGTGTCTCACACCTCTATATGGTTTGAAAAAGGTCTCTTAGAGTTGGTAGATCTTTTCCTCTTTAAAACATGAGTCCAAGTTTCACCATGTAATGGCCTCAATAAAAGGCAAAATTAGCGATCCATTTGGTCGTTCTAGTCATTTAATGACACTTAGACCCTACTTGGTGATCATTCTTTTAAATTTTTTTTTTTTTTTATACTCATTGTCAATCACACATTCTGATAATAAATACAGTTTTTATATAAATTTAAAAAAAAATCGACTTTTTAACTATACATTCTCTAAAAAATAACTATTTAAAATTCATTCTTTCCAAAAAAAATACCTATCAAACAAGATCTTTTTGCCATATAAATTGATATTGTAATAGTATCAATTATACTAAATAGCATTACTCTCCATTTTTTAGGAAGTCGGTTAAGAAACTTGGATTTGAACATTGACTAAAATTTCTCTTGCTTATTTTGATTTC